ATGGATGTTAAAACTGCGTTTCTAAATGGTGACATTGAATAAACGATTTATATGATACAGCAACCAGAAAATTTTGTGTCTGGTGACTCAAAGTTCATGGTATGCAAACTAAAGAAATCCATCTATGGTCTCAAACAAGCTTCCCGTCAATGGTATCACAAGTTCCATCAAGTTATTACCTCATATGGTTTTGAGGCAAATATAGTTGATGATTGTGTTTATCATAAGTTTAGTGGGAGTAAATATATATTATTGGTGTTATATGTCGATGATATACTGCTTGCCAGCAGCGATATAGGCTTATTGTACGAAACCAAGAGATTTTTAACAAAGAATTTTGAAATGAAAGATCTTGGTGAAGCCTCTTTTGTATTAGGTATTAAGATACTAAGAGATCGTTCTCATGGTATCATAAGGTTATCACAAGAGAACTATATCGATAAAGTTTTAGATAGATTCGGCATGAAAGATAGTAAACCAGGAGATACCCCTATAGCCAAGGGAGACAAATTTAGCCTCAAACAATGCCCTAATAATGACCTTGAAAGAAATGAGATGCAAAAGATTCCCTATGCTTCAGCTGTGGGAAGTCTAATGTATGCTCAAGTTTGTACTCGTCCCGATATTGCATTTATAGTGGGAGTTTTGGGCAGATACTTAAGTAATCCTGGGATGCAGCATTGGAAAGCAGTAAAGCGTGTAATGCGCTATTTGAAGAGAACAAAAGGATATATGCTCACTTATCAGAAGTCTGACAGTTTAGAGATCATTGGATACTCAGACTCTGATTTTGCCGGATGTCAAGACAGTAAACGCTCCACATCTGGATACATCTTTATGTTGGCTGGAGGAGCTATCTCTTGGAAGTCTGTTAAACAGACTATTATAGCTTCATCAACCATGGCTGCGGAGTTCATTGCTTGTTTTGAGGCATCCAACCATGGGATATGGCTGCGAAATTTTATCACTAATTTACGTGTGGTTAATGGCATTGAAAGGCCATTGAAAATCTATTGTGATAATAACTCTGCAGTTCTTTATTCCAATAACAATAGGAGTACAACCAAGTCAAAATTCATTGATATAAAGTTTCTGGTTGTTAAGGAAAGAGTTCAGAATAAGCAAATTTCTATAGAACATATAGGGACTAATTTTATGCTAGCTGATCCACTTACTAAGGGTTTGGTGCCTAAAGTCTTTCATGAGCACATTGCTCATATAGGTGTAATTCCTTATAGTACCTTAGTTTAGTGGGAGTCTCATTTATGTTTTGTGTCTTCTTTATTTTTTTTTAATTTTTCCAGATATTTGTATTATTTGGATTTTCTACAGAAATAAAGTTGATGTTCATAATTTTACTCTGAGCTTGTTTTTGTGAAATATATATATATTGCGTTTTGAATGGATCTCTATAAAGAATAAAGTTTGGACCAGTTAGAAATAGACATGATTAAGATCACGTTGCATGTAATTTCCATGCCACTTATCCATATTTGATCTATGTCATTGAGTGCATACAATTGTGGTGATCATTGTGGTTTAGTCACATTAGATAGCATACGGTTGCGCGTCTAAAGAATTTTGTGATATAAATACTTAAATGAATACGAAGCCCAAGTGGGAGATTGTTAGAAATTTTATTTCTAATAAATATTGTGGGCTACATATATTATTTGTAGTATTTATATTAGTTATTTACATTTAGTTGGGCTCAATAAAAGTGATCTAATTTTAGTGAGCCTTTAGACTGCCAACAGGAAAAACTGATATGGGCCCAAATAAGTAGAAACTAGATTTGGCCCGTTAGGGGTTAATGGGAACCCTAATAGGTTTAAAATCATAAAGATGGTCATGGTCCCCAATATGCCAAATTAGAAACACACGTCTCTCTGTCTCCCCATCATAAGAGTAACATCAAGTCCCATCAAGAAATCCAGTGATTTGGCTGAGGAAGATCATTGCACCAAAAGACTATTCCGCTGCAACCTTTTGATCAACGTCAATGGATACAGGTACGTATTATTATCATTAACTCTGTAATCTGAGACAACGGTTCTTAATATTGATTAATGGAAAATTTCTATTTGGCTTAAGAAATTTTATCCCAACATGAACCTGTATAAATCTTGTTATTTTCCTCTTTCTCATTTATCTCTTATACACTTGCATTATAGTTTGATATAAATTTGCATATGCTGATTGACATCAGTTCATCATTCATAGAGAAATTCGTATTATATTTAGAAAAGGGAATTTGTTCATTCTCATAAATTATTCATAGGCTATCGAATATGCAATAAATATTGCTGAAAATAATTTTTAAAATAAGTGGGACCTAAATGATTCTTTTTAAAAGATCCAACTCTAGGATCTAGCGATACCGACAATATCTCTAATTGTTTCCTAAAACTGTAGTCTTAATTACCTCAAGTAAAAAGATGACACATAAAAAGTATATATAATCATATAATAAATAAGTGAAACTTAATTAAATAAATAAACTTTGATATATGATCTAGATTTATTGGTGATTAACTCATGATATTTTCTCTTGTTTAAGAACAAAAAGCTCCTTACAATATCATAAATCTTAAAAGACTTGTAGGCAAGAAGCAAAAATAACAAGTAGTGTTCCAATCTAATTATCATTTTATAAAATTCACAAAAATTTAGTAATATTATTAAAATGTTACAAAATACCATTTTAGTTGCATTTTTAAAAATGATTTCATTAATATGTAAAATATAGCTAAAAGTCTTTAATAACATAAACTTTATATTACATTTAATAAAATGTCGCAAAAGTATATTAATAAAATTTATTTATATTATTTAACAACATTTTTCTAATAATGTTAAATACCCATTTTGTTGTAATGAGCATTACTCCTATATATGCATACAAATCACAAATCAATGCGGTATTGATCAAGGACTTCACCGGTTTTCTTTCCTGTGGTGATTCTGAACTCCCTCAATTCTTCATACTTAAATGGACAATAGACTCGTGCATGGTCAAGTTCCACCAACTTTGCTGGGGCCTCAACATTGCCATCTCTTGATGCTAACATAAATGCACCAAATGAATAACGATTAATTGTTTCCTTGCATTGTACACGATGCCTCACATTAAAAAAATTTCCATTACTCCAAGCCTGTATAGAGATATAATAATTTTGAAGAGCACCCAAATATTAAAATAAGGTTCATATGATTCAAATAAATAAAAGCGCTAATAAGTATTCTTACATGTCCAACATCTCCTATAATGCAAAGGAAGGACCCTGGTTTAGTAGGAATTTTCTTAAATGAGTTGGAATCATCCAGCAACTCAAGACCGCTAACAATTTCATCATCTTGAAGTAGAGTGATAAACCCTGTGTCTGAGTGTAGTTCTGCTGCCGTGGTGCCTATATCTTGTGGGGTGAGATTATATTTAATAATCCTAAAAATGAATGGCCAATCCTTGAAATCAAAACTCATTATGCCCAAAGACTCAGCCATCTTTTGTGATACATTTGATGCCAAGTCATGGATTGCTTGGCCATATGCCCCTAATATTTGCCTGAGAAGCAAACAAACCCAACTTAATAAATGTTCAAGATATTCCTTGGTTTTTTTCATTAATTTACTTTTTTTTGTCACCGAATAATATATCGATGGCAAAAAGAAAAGAGTAATTTAATGAAAGCATGAAACTAAATAATGCAAGGGCACCTAGTTATTAAAAATCGTGTATTTCACAAAAAATATAATTCAGTGACTGTAATTTGTGAAGGTGCTGCATGGGGCAATTAAGGAACCTAAATGGTGAGAGGCTACAGTTAGTGGGTCTGTACAAGTAGCAAGAGATCCAAATGATGCGGGAAGCAGGAAAAACACGAGGGCAAGAATAACAAACTAACGTTTGAAGGAATTTGTATGTAGCAATTAAATGATGAAAAAGAGGGGGATGATGCTACTTTCTCTCTCTATGTTGTTTCTGTGAATTCTCTTATAACTACCATTGTGTATCGTCTTCCTTATTTTGGTCACGCATTATTGCTATCATAATACAAAGAGGTTTTTTCATTCCATATATTGATTCTGCCACTCGCAGTAAATCCTAACTTCTTCAATTCGAATGGGTTCACGGTAATATTTGTTGTAGTGGACAGACTTTTGTAGAACACATATTTTACAACTTTAAAATCTAATTATACAAGTGCTTAGGTTGCTGAATTATTCATGAAGATAATGGTTAAACTCCATGGTTTCCCGAAGACAATTGTCTCTAATAGAGATAAGGCATTTACGAGTCAATTTTGGAAACAATTGTTCAAATTGAGTGGCACAAACTTAGCTATGAGTATGACATATCACCTACAATCTGATGGTCAATCTGAGGCAGTTAATCGTTGTCTAGAAATGTATCTTTGTTGCTTCACAGATGAGAATCCTAAGGTCTGGACAAAGTTCTTACCATCGGCAGAATTTTGGTATAACATTACATATCACAACAGCACTAGTATGACACCATTTAAAATCGTATATGGAAGAAATCCTCCTCTAGTGGTTAAATATGATCTAGAGTCCAGTGCTTCACATGACATTCACGATTTATTGCAACAACGTGATATCATTCTGGCACAATTAAAATAGAATTTGATCAAAGCACAACAACATATGAAGAAATTTGTTGATTAGAAGAGGCGTCAAGTGGAATTTGAAGTTGGGGACATGGTTTTGGTCAGGTTGCAGCCATATAGACAAAATTCTTTAACTCTAAGGAAGAATTAGAAGTTGGGGTTGAGGTACTTTGGACCATTTCCAATCATTCAACGTGTTGGACCTGTAGCTTACAAGCTATTATTGCTACCTTGTGCCTAGATTCACCCGGTTTTTGCTTGTTCACAATTGAAACTATGTCATGGTGACCATAACTGACCTTATGTTCCCCTACCTATGGTAACTAATGAGATTGGCCCTATTCTGCAACCTTTATCAGTGCTGAAATCACGTATCATTCTCAAAGGTGATCAACAAGTGACTCAAGTTCTCATACAATGGAAAGGCTTGGAAGAGTCCCATGCAACGTTGGAAGATTATGCTGCCATCAAGGAAACTTACTTGGACTTCAACCATGAGGACAAGGTTAATTTTAATGGGGGAGGAAATGTAATATGTGAAGATGCTGCAAGGGCAATTAAGGAACCTAAATATGGTGAAGAGGCTACGATTAGTGGGTCTGTACACGTGGCAAGAGATCCAAATAACTACAAGGAAAATGATGAATTGCGATGGACAAATTGCGACAGTTATCCTGAAACCGTCGTTACTTTGATATTGCGACCCTTCATACAACGGTTTCTCCCAACAGTCGCAAATTTTTTTAACATTGCGACGGTTTCTCCCAAAATCATCGCAAAATTTTCCAACATTGCGAAGCTTTCTACCAACCGTCGCAAAATTTTTCAACATTGCGACGGTTTCTCTCAAAACCGTCGCAAAATTTTCAAACATTGCGATGGTTTCTCCCAACCGTCGCAAAATTTTCCAACATTGCGACGGTTCCTCCCAATCGTTGCAATTTACAAGACAAAAATTGAAATAAAAATTCACACAAAGTCATGCACACTCCAAAATTATATAATTTTACTTTCAATAAAAAATAAAATAATAAAATAATAATGAAATGTAATTACATTTCGAAATGTTAAAAAGGAAAAAATACTTTAATATACTATATTAATTTTATTTCTCTATCTTTTAAATTATTTTAGAATAAAATAGTGTTATGTGAATCCTAGGAAGCTAAAAATTTAAAAAAAAAATATGTTACATTTTTTTTATGTGTTAGTGAAATTAATAATACATCTTAATTGTGGATTAAATCGAGAATATTGAAAAAATAATAAATAATTTATAAAATTTATTATTTTAATGGTTAATTAAATATAGATATTTGATAAATTAATTATCTTTTCACAAATAATAACTTAAAAATCACTTCTAGGTTTGAATATAATACACACACATATATATAACCCCTATTTAATTATAATTTAAAAGTTATTTTTAGTACAAACTAAATATTATTTTGTTCAAAAATTACGGTAAAATTTAATAAAATTTAGGATTAAAAATACATTTAATAGTAGATTAGACCAAAAGTAATATTTTTCTTTTGGAAGTATTATATTATCTTAATAAACTTATATTTTATGAACAATTTTATATATATTTTGTTTAATATGAAATACACAATTATCATCAAAAAGATTATAATATATATATATATATATAGAGAGAGAGAGAGAGATAGAAAGAGAGAGAGGAGGAATCAAATGACTCACAAAGTAACTCTTAATAAAGTTATTCCGCTCAATAACTCATAGTATAAGTTAAATTTTATCGATCCAATTATTAAATTAAAAGTTATTAAATTTTACTAATAATTAATATAGAAAAACTTGTTTAGAAAATAAAACAAGGATAAATACATTTTTTGAATTTTGTATCTTATATTTAATATGAATAAATAAATTAAGTTAATTAATAAGTTATTTACAATGTTAAATTTTAATTTATAAAAATAATATTTTAAAAGAGAAAGGTTATAATAACATCAGTGTAACTTTTACTAAGTATTACACCGCTCAATAAATTTATATTACATGTGAATTTCATAAATGCAATCGTTAGATTGAAATTTTTTTACTCTTAGATCATATATAAAAAATTTTATATTAATTCAAGATGATTTGATACTTCATTCTTGTAAAAAAAAAATTGACGTAATATATACATTTCAAAATATACTAAAATATGAACACTTTGATTACCTTCAAGTTGTTCAATTTTAACAAAATTTGATATAACATATAAAGTGATATGAACTTTCAATCCAACAGTTAGATTTACAAAATTCACATTTAATATAAGATTATTAAGCGGTGTAATACTTAGTAAAAGTTACATCGATGTTATTATAACCTTTCCCATTTTAAAATATATAAATTTATTTAAACTTTTAAATTTATAATTATAATAAATAATTTAAATTATATCATAATATTAATTTTAAATAGAAATAAGTAGATTGTTAATTATAAAAGTAAGTATATATATAAATAAAGATTAATTAAATATAATATAATTATTATTAGTAATGTAATTATTATATATTTATAACGGTTCGGACACACCGGAATGAGAGGGATCCAAAGATAGTATAAGTATGAGATTGTATAGTTGAGAATGACTTAAATGAATTAATTTGTACTACTTATACTGATAACATGTATCTGCTTTTCTGTAGCTTATCTCATCAGAACTCCACAGTTAAGTATGTTTGACTTGGAGTAATACAGGGATGGGTGGCCTTTTGGGAAGTTTCCCAAAAACTGTGTAAGTAAGGAAAAAACATGCTAAAAAGTGAAGTATTGCGAAATAAAATCCTTGAGAAGAATAACAACCGAATTTGAGACGTCTGAAAAATTTAATAAAATAAAAAATAAATATTTAGTGACTGATTTAGAGGTAGTTAGTGCAACGGGTTCTATAAGGGTCGCAATTCTAATTTTGCGATGGTTTGTGCAACGGCTCCAGTAACCGTCACAAAATTCACTCGTGACGAACATTTCTGTGACGGTTGGTGAACCGTCGCAATGGTGTCTTTACGGTAGTTCTAACCGTCCCAATGTAGGTCATATAATTGTCGCAAAATCGTCATTTTCTTGTAGAGAATGATGCGGGAAGCTGGAAAAGCACAAGGGCAAGAATAACAAACTCATGTTTGAAGGAATTTGTGTGTAGCAATTAAATATACAGACTAAGGATATGATGAAAAGGGAGGGGGGAACGATGCTACTTTCTCTTTCTATGTTGTTTCTATGAATTCTCTTATAGCTACCGTCGTGTATCGTCTTCCTTGTTTTGGTCACTCATTATTGCTATCATAATACACAGAGGTTTTTTCATTCCATATATTGATTCTACCACTCCTAGTAAATCCTAACTTCTTCAATTGTTGCAGTGACAAAGTGGTCTTTTTGTTTCTAATAAACAACCACTTTGTGTTGTATCATTCAAGAGCCGAAGCAATAGAAGAAGTCTCTAAAACAATGAAACAAGAGGAACTCAATGCTATTCCACTCTGATTTTATTTTATTTGAAATCATCCAACTGTTCGGAGATTTATTCCGCTAGGTGAAATTTTACTTATAATACTATGTTTATTGTTGATGAGTTTTTATATACGGTGAAAATCTAATATGATTTCTTTTCTAAATATATCACACTACTAGAAAATGTCATTTTCCTGCAAATTTTCTTGCAAAAAACTATTCGCAGAAATTTTTTGCGAAAAATAATTTACAGATATTTCTTACAAATTTTGCTACTATTTCAATGATCATAGAAATTTTTTTCCATGGTAAAAATTTGCAGAAAATATTGTAAGAATTTTATTTTGTTTCTTGCAGATTTTCTTGTAAAAATAAATTCGCCAGTAATGTTTACTAAATGGTAGAAAAATTTTGCAAGTAACTTTTCCTGCGGATTTTCTTGCAAATTTTAATCCGCAGGAAAAATAAAAAATATTTAAATTTATAAGTTTAATATTTAAAAAAAAAAAACTTCAAGTCCTACATCGATTGAAAATAAAACAATTCAAGAGTATATAAGTTGGAACAACACTTACCTTACAAGTTGATTTGTATGGTTGAGTGTTAGACTTATAATCTACAATCTTAGAATTTAAAAGATTATGTATCACATGTTACAGGCATGAAAAAAATGCTTTGAATGAATTCATTGTGAGTATTTGAAAGTTGAAGAATTATTGATAGAATTTATAGTAATTTCTTTAATTTTTTTTTGTAAAAAATATTCCTGCAAAATTTCTTGCAAAAAAAATTTGCAAGAAACTTTCCTGCAAATTTTTTTCGCAAGAAATTTCGCAGGAAAATTTCCTGCGAATTTTAAAATTCGTAAAAATATATTATCCACAAAGGTATTACCTGTAGATAAAATTTCGCAGAAAAATTTGTAGGAACAACGTTTCTTGCAAATTTTTCATAAAAATTCACAAGAAAAATCGCATGTAATAAAAGAAATTTTAGTAGTGTCATTCACATGTGTAAATATAAAATATCTTTCATTTTATCTAACTACTATACTAAGCAAGACCCTAAGACAAATTATAAGAAAAAGCAATGCGTAAAAAAAAACAAAAGAAGAAGAAGAACCTGTGATGGGGTGACACATTCAATTGAGAGCAGAAATCTTGAAGTGCATGGGGTGAAGAATACATGTCATAGATTCCCAAACCCTCGTAAAGAGGACTTGTTACAGTCGATGGCACATAGCCACTTTCAGGGATGATGCTTTTGTTACGCATTTTTATTTCCTTAGGAAGATCATGCAAGTGTTTAGCCACTAATTTCATGTCAGCCATGAGGGTTAGTGGAATGGGGTGGTTCATGATCCTGAAACACCCACATTTCTCACATGCTTCTCTTAGCTTCTTCAACTCATCTTCATCTGTTGAAAGTTTCTCGAAATCCACCACTGGGATCTTTGCCTCCATCGACCTCTTTCTCTTTTCACCTCTCTTTCTTCTTTCTTCTTGTGCCTTTGTCTTGCTTGTGTGAGCCAGAAAGAAGAAGAAACAACTCTTATTAATTCTCAAGATTGTCGGCAGAAGCAAAATATAATAAAAAATGAAAACTTTATCAAGTAGTTCGCATTAATTCCTTTATAATCCTAATGAATTATATATAATTAAGATAAGATGGGTTACGACATATATAAAATACAAATCAACTATTAATTTTTTTTTTAAAGATTTTTAATGTAACTACATATCACCTGTTTCATCTCTAACTATTTCTTCTCTATAAAAAGATATATAAAACACGTGAACAAAAACGAGTTAATGTTACTTATTTTTATATAATAAAACAAATCAAATATTATCGTAATTGATTTTTTTTTAATTGTTACGATATAATTTTTTTTATCGAAATAAAATTTAAAAGGTAAAATAATATTTGATTACAATCATATAAAGTTAGTTGGTTAGAGATATAGTACTACAGCCATTATTTTGAGCGCGTTACATGTGGTGTAGAAAACCTGAAGATAATTTATCGAAAAGTGTGAGCTGTGACATAGTGTGAAAACAAAGATATGATATTGGGTGATGCATATGCACTTTATTATCAATTCTTGTTTTTATTGTTTTTACTTTCTATTTTTTTTGAGAAATAATGTTTTGCGAACATAAAAAATTATCCGGCATCTTAAGACAGATATATAAGAGGCAACAGTAACGTGATACGTGATTTGAAGAGATAAAAAAAATGAAAATTTTAAAATGAATAATTAAATGTACCTTTAGGTACTCATAACATTATTATTGATTTTTAACTACATGCTTTTTTTTTTATATGGAATAATGAAATTTAGACATCTTAATATAATTTTAAATCCTTCAACAATTTATATCAATATTATTAATAAAGGTGATGTACTTTTTGTGTGTCTATTCTTTATGTATAAATTTAATAATATAAAAAAACTAATAGTTTGAAAAGTATTTCATTGACTAAATAGAATATTAAGGGTAGAAGTATCACATTATAATTCTCTAAAATATCAGGACTAAACTTGAAAGTAATTATAAAGAATACTAACTAAAACGAAAATATTTTGAAAGAAACAAAATTCCTATAGCAATGATATAAGAGAAATAATCCCTAACTAAAGCTCTGATGTCACATCATATCAGAGTGATCTCAACATAAAATTCAAACTCTTTTATAATTAAATTCATTTGTTCAAACACAACAAAACAAAATCACAAAAGTAAAAGAAAGAGAAATAATCTTACTTTGATTACCCGTGAAAGAAATGGCTAGGTAGCCACACATACAATAACACACTATAAAACATACATGTAATTCATTAACAATTAATGATTCCACCTATCATGTTATAGTAATCAAACAATAATCATTCAGTCACAATCTATTACATCACATCTTATCTTATATCAAGTCACAATTCAAACACAATACTATGTTCATGCAAGGACAGAACTTTCCTAAATTATATACATGTAGTTCTAATAAAATCTCTTTATCCCTACTTGAAGGTTGAGTAGCCTATAAGTTTATGTTAGGTCAAAGCATCACAACACTCTACACTAGGAGAAAATACACTAGTGGCACGTCAAAATTTGTATGTTTGCCCAGTTTCACTCTATTCGCACAAGGTGGTGGGACTAGGGCTCCCAAACCTAGTTATCCCCAAGGTAATAAATCCTAAAGCTTTTACACATGGAGAACCTTTCTTGGCAACATATTTCACATTGTACTCATCACAAAACACGTTATGCAAATAATACATGTCATACAAACTCTATGCATGGTCACAAAATTCACATTCACATGATTTCACATTTCACAAGTCACATCATTGTTAAGTTATACTTAGTCTTACATAATCACTTACACTCATCACATATCACATATGATGGAGAATCATCCTTGAAGACCATAGGACCTTTGACAAGGTCTATAGTTAAAAGACTAGAGGAAGCTACTAGAGAGGATTTAAAATATGTGTTCTCCTAGTTGCTTAGTCTTCTATTATATATATTGTGTATAGGTTATTTTTGAGCTTGTATTTTGGATCAAGTAGTATAAGAATATGTCCTTGTATAGTTTTTTTATGGGTGTAATTAGTAGTTTAGAGAAAGTGTAACTAGCTAAAGTCATGATAAACATATTTGGGCTTGGATGGCCCAAATCTTTTCGTGGCCTATAGGTTTGGAAGTCCATTTGCTCATGGAGGTGATTTGGACGTCTAAACCAAGCCAATCTAGCCATCCAAGTTGTTAAATAAGTAACATGGCTTTTAATAGTGACATCTCAACAACTTGTTAAAAGTAATCTTAGTTTGGTAGTTGTAATGATTAGATTAGGTAGTTGGAGTTAACTGAAGCTAACTTAGGTTATTTATAAACTAGGATAAGCTTAGGTTAGTCCATAAGTTTCTAGATACTTAACTAGGATTGGTTAGCTTAAGTATAAGATAGCTAATCATGGTTACACTTAATCATGGTTAGTCTAACTTGCATCATAAGCCAACCAAATTCTATATATTATTTTTCTTATATTGGATGAATAGTTTTGAGCATTTATTGGAATTGTATGAAATTTTCTCTCTAATTATCTCTCTCAATGCTTGTTTCTCTCATTAAAATTATTCCTTTTCTCTTATCCTCTCTTGAGCGTTGTGATAAATTGAAGAGACTTATCACTCTTCAAGAGTGTGGCATCACCTAAGGGAGATCCTATCTTTTCTTGTGTGTTAGAAATGGCTTATAATATCATTGGAAGCCATTGAAGGAGACTAAAGGAGTCCAAGAAGCTAAAGATATGTCCAATAAGCTTGAAGGAGAAGCTACATCAATCGAGTATCTCTTGAGGTTTCCATCACTTGGTATCAAGATCAAGGTCTTCTTGGTAAACTCTTTCCATATCTTCTTTGAGTCTTTTTGATTCAGCCACGGTGTATATTCCTTGATTGTATTGTGTTTGTATGCATTAGAATTGTTCTTGTGTCACATATATGAATCTATAGAACAATTCACTTTGTCTTGTAGTTTTTGATAATTCATGCATCTATTCATATGAATCAATCTTCATTATGTGTTTTAGGTATTCTATGAACTTGAATTTTCTTTTTAGGTCTTGCTTATATCTTGATTGAATATATTAATTTTTGGTCAAAAAAAAATTCTAAAACAAAAGTGTATGATTGAGTGTTTTTTTTTTAAATTTTTTTATTCCATGTAGTTTTGTCTAGTTGTTTTATTTAGTCCTCATATGTCATCACTTCCATTGTGTGTCTTTTTCTTTTGAATAAACATTACTCTCTATTTTAGTGTCATAAAAATTGCTAGTTGCACCTTATACAAATCTTATAAGTGCTCATTATATGAATCCTGTGCATGTTATTAGATCTAACATGTTCTAGTGTCATATTTTTGTGAACTTCACTGGCTAACTCTTACTTAGCAAGTTAAGGACATAACTTCCTTGAGTCTTTTGTCTTTAATTGAATATTAAAACCTTATTAGAAATTTTGAAAGAAATTATAAAAAGAGGTATACAAAACCAAGAGAAAACTAGAACCAAAACTAGCCTTAAATGTTTTTAAAATTCTCTAGCACACTTACACTCTCTATAGCTTTTTTCTCCACCACTACTAAGACATTTGTTCCTAGTTTCATCCTCTATCTTTAGTTCTCACATTCAATTTAGAAAAAAAAAATAAAGAACCAAGAAGGAAACCAAAGAAAAAGAACAATAGTATACAAAAAGTTTGTGAAAAAGTGAGAAACAAAACAAAATTTAGAGCACTTGGCATTGTATTTTTGGAACTTATTTCTTTGCTTTATTCTCTGATTTTAGTGGCTAGACATACCTTTTAATTGTTTAAATTATTGCACAAATTTTTATTTCATTTTCTAATCGAATTTAGAGTCACTTCTAAGACTTTTACTTTGAAAGTTAGTGTTGAAATTGTACTTTATTTTCTTGCTTTGTGTCTTTTAATATTCTTTGAATTTGTCACTTCTATTTCTACTTGAATATAGCCTTTCTTAATTGTGCTTTTTCAATTTTGGTTGTTGGCTTATTGTCTTTTTTGATTCTGATGGATAATTTGACTTTTTCTTCTTTAACAATTTTTTAGAGTTTCCAAGACATCTTTCTTGTTCGATCTTGTTCCGGCCAAGGGGTGGACTAGGGTTTTTTCCTAGGTCGTGCCTCAAAGCCAGAGCATTCAAAAGTGTGTTCTGCCGTCTCAACTCTAGAGTTTCAGGCTTTATGGCGCGTTGTTCGTGGGCCTCTTGGACCCCGAGGATCAAGGGATTTCCCTAACTGTTCTTATCACGATGATGCAAGATCAACGGGAACGAGCTTAGTCGCGGTCCGACCGACAGGGCCTATACCGAAAATCCAACGAGATAAGTGCCGAGTGGTTCCCTGGTAGGCAAGAGGAATCGAGCTCGCTAAGCCAAGTCGGGCTATGACCGAATAGGCTTGTACTGAACCCTACGTCGGGTTAATGCCGAGAAGGAAATCATGGTCACCTTATTTCTGAGTACCCATAAGGCGAGAGGGTTTAGGGCCTAGCTGCCTAGTCGGGTAATTGCCGAGTATAGGGCTGTTGACGCCCTATCACCGTTAAGGAGATCAGGTCGGTCCACGACCGAGACGGTACACTTGCCTTCCAGCCTTGAGCCTGTGAGGCGAGAAGGCTAAACCGAGTATACCTCTTAACGGCATCGGACATAGGCCGAGAATATGTGTCGGTCCACGACCGAGACGGTACACTTGCCTTCCAGCCTTGAGCCTGTAAGGCGAAAAGGCTAAACCGAGTATACCTCTTAACGGCATCGGACATAGTCCGAGAATATGTGTCGGCCCACGACCGAGACGGTACACTTGCCTTCCAGCCCTGAGCCTATAAGGCGATAGGGCTTAAGGCCTGGCAACCTGATTGTGTATTTGCCGAGTGGAAAACCAGGTCAGATGGCGAC